GGCTGTGTGACCTCATGGCAAGTTGCTTTATTGGTAAAATCTTCTAAGCTGGGATGGGGGTGGGGGAGAGTAAGCTTCAGTTTCCTTATGTGAAAAATAGGATAATAATCGTACCTACCACATATGATCGCTGTCTGGATAAGAGGGAGTGAACATGAAATTTCTAGCACAGTGCCTGGTGCATAGTTTGGGCCCAGCAAATAGCAACTTTTACTAAGGCTAATCTTCAGTATTTTTAGCTGTTGAAGGATGATAATAATACCTACCTTTCAAAACCATTGTAAAGAGAAGGAAAAAAAAATAATAAAGAACAGAGAGCCCCTGACTGAAAGATATTGCGTTTGTCAGTGTGGACTGCGATAAGAAAGAGTCCCAACGTTTCAGGGGCTGAAGAGTTAGTTCTTGAACATGCCTGAGTCTAATGTGGGTAAATGGGGAGAGAGGGGACGGGGGCCTCTGTCTCACGCGGTCAGTCACGGACTCGGGCTCTTGCTCTCCGCATCCTTGAGTCCTCCCCTGGACCTACTGAGTCCAGCCCAAGGTGAGGAAAGAGGAAGACAGAGGAAGACGGGCGGCGAGGTCTATGGGTCAGGCCTGAAGACCGCGTGTGTTGCTTCTGCCCATGTCCTGCGGAGAACGCGGCTCCATGGCTGCACCTGCCTTCAGGGGGAGCTGAGAGATGGAGTCTGTCTGTGTGACCAGAAAGAGGGACAATGGGTCACTGGACAGCTTGCCAGTCTCTGCCCTAGGGTTCAGTGCATGTCACCCACTGTTGTGGTTACTAGAACACCAGGGTGATTCCCACCGTATGCTAAGCCCTCCTCGGAGGGATGGGCAGCCCTGATTATGCTGTCTTACTCCTCAGAGCCTGAGGGAAGGGCCAGTTCACACCTCATCCTAGGCTGGCATGGCTGCCTGGCCCCTGTGAGCCATCCTTGACCATAATGACAAGAACTGAGAGTCTCAAGGGTGGCAGACAAGCCTCTGAAAGGACGTGTGAGGGTCACATGAATGGAGTTCCATTGTTAATGGCAAACTAGATGTTGAAAGGTGGCTTTCTCTTTCTTTCTCTGCCTCTCTAGTTTTTGCAAAAATGAATCACTCCAAAACTTAATGGCTTAAGGCATAACACCCATTTTAGTCTTCTCTCTCACAGTCTCTGCAGACAGGGATTCAAGAGTGGTTTATCTGGGTGATCTGGCTCCGAGGTTTTCATAAGTTACAGCCAGATGGTAACTGGAGCTGTAAACTTAAAGGTATATGCACTTATCTGCCTGTCCTCTAGGCTAAAAAGATTCAAACAGCCAGGGCTGGAACAGCTGGCTCCTCAGGCACCCCTCTGTCCCTCTCCCCCTTCCTCTCCCTCCCTCTCCCTCTCCCCCTTCTTGTCTCTCTCCCCCTCCCTACCCTCCCCCTTCCCGGCACTGAGCCCGTTACTTACTGTCTCTTCTAACCCAGCCTCCAAAGTTCATCAATTCTGCCATCTTATTTGTCCAGTCAGCCGCAAAGGCTTGCTCAGGTTCAAGGACAAGGGGCATACACGCCACCTCTTGATGGCAGGTGTGTCAAAGAAACCATTTGCAGGCATGTTTTAAAACCACCCTTCATCTAGATACTATAGTGGCGTCTCCATCCAGAATCGCCCTAGGTGGGACCATGCCTGCAGGTGGCTCAGAACGCATGCATCCTGGGCTGAGATCTGCTGACTTGTGGATGCCAAAGCTGAGGGCTGAGAAATCTAGCTAACAGTGCAGAGGAACCTGGACTGGGACAATGGGGACTGGGGAAGGATGGGTAGCACAGCCTCTTCTTGGTGTTAGTTTATTTCATTCCCATTTTCAGCCACGCAATTTTGCAACCCCAGCTTTGTACTTCTCACCATCCCAAGGTCTGCATGTAGGAGACAGTTACATAAAGCCTGGAGGCTCAGAGAAGTTCAGTAAATTATGCAAACTCACACAGCTGGGAGTGGGGGGTGGATAGATACTTGAACCCTGACCTGTCTCATCCCAAAACCCACATGCGCCCTGACCTTCTCCCTGGCAGTCTGGCAGTATGTGTGTGGGATGGCATCAGGGAGAGACCATGGAAATAGATGTCATAGACGTGCTTCAAGAGAGGGGGCATGAGGGGCCACTTGTGGCCCTGCCGCTCTATTTCTCAGCCACAGAATGCAGTCCTCTTTTTACCTATTGAAAGACAGCACACCAACTGAGTCTCTTGAGGAACCCCAGAATTCACATTTGGGCCCAGAGTTTGGGGTGGGGCAGTCAGCTATTCTTGGTGCACTAAAATTTCAGAGTAGAGGGAAGGGGGGCGGGTATGTAGTTCAGCTTATTACAGTAACAATAGTTGCTGTGACGGAATATTTTGCAAGTGTCACATAAGTGTTGTGTATGTGTTATCTCATTTAACCCTCATAAAAACTCTTGCGGTCAAGAGTATCTCCCCCGTTTAGTAGACAGAGAAACGGCCTCGGAGATGAAGTAAACTGCCCTGAGGTCACCCATTGAGGGTCAGACCAGGGATTCAGACTCAGGGCTGCTTGCTCCTGAGCTCAGCCTCCCAAACATGGACTGGGGCAGCCCCACAGTCCCCCCTCAACCCCACCTCCAAGCCCTCAGCATCTCAGCCACACACTCGGTGCCCCTTCACATCATAAATACTAATTGAAAATATCGATGCTGGGGTACCATGCTGTGTCCCAGTAATTAAGCCCTTAGTTGCATTGTCATAGTCACAGTTGTCCCGATTGTGACAGGAGGTGAGCAGAGCACGCGGGGTGACAGTGAGCACGCACAGACTCCTGCCTCTGCCTGCGTGCTGGTGCCTGATCCCGGCGTGAGCAGCCCTGTCCTGTGTCTCTGTGCAGTTGTTGCTCTTCTTGTACCAGAACTCAGCTTGGTCTGAGAAGTCTAAATGCTGCTGCTCCGCATCACAGTTAAGAAACAGCTTTGCTGTTTTAGAGGGTGCAACACTGGGTGAGGCGGGGAGGCGGTTCCCAAGTGAGGTTGGCTCAAGGGCCCATTGATTGTTTTTCCGTATTATTTCTGATCTCGGGACGGTAATCCCTCCGCCACCTTGATTTTGCTTCATGCAAAGTGCTAGCATCTGAACATCATTTCCCTCTTCTTTTCATGCAAGTGTAGAACTCACAAGTCTTGCTGAGACGTGATTGCAGGATGCAACTTTAGGATCTGAGTAGGAAAACCAAAGAACTGCCACAGTCCCCCCTAACCCATGAGGGATACGTTCCAAGACCCCCAGTGGATGCCTGAAACTGCGGGTGGCACTGACCCTCTGTACACTATGTCTTTTCCTGTACAAACATACCTTTTCCCTTTTAAAGGAAGCATTTTTTGGCTTCTCTTTGGCATATCCAAATTGCCAGCATCCCTTCTCTTGTGCTTTGGGGCCATGATGAAGTAAAACAGGGGGTGACTTGAACACAAGCAGTGTGATTTCACGACAGTCGATCTGATAACCCAGGCGGCCGCTAACAGGCAGGGAGCGTTCACAGTGTGGAGATGCCTGACAAAGGGGCGACTCACGTCCTGACATGACGGATTGGGAAGGCGTGAGGTTTCATCACACTGCTCAGAATGGTGCACAATGTAAAACTTACGAATTGTTTATTTCTGGAATTTTCCGTTTAATATTTTCAGACTGCAGTTAACCATGGGTAACTGAAACTGCAGACAGCGAAACTGTGGATATGTGGGGACTGCTGTAGCCAATGTTTGGATAGGGACCCATCACCAGAAAATGGCTTCTTAGTACCTCATGTTCTGCAGGAAGCAAAGCCAGGTTACAGATCCCTTGTTGAATCTCCAACTTGGCCAAAACCCTGAAAAGTTTCTCATGAAGAATGCAGAGTAAATGGGAATCAGTCGTTCAGCATTCATTACTAAGAATTACAATATTATTTATGGTCCTTTTTGTGTGTCTAGTCTTCTTAGATAATTTTGTGAACACAATATTTATACAGTTGTTCACAGGTTCATTCTGGACTTTGGTTTTTTCTAGCCCTGGTTTTTACCCCCCATAGTGCTTTTTTCTCCCCAATATCAATGCCACCATAATGCTTCCATGGTATATTTTTCTCTTTGGGGCCATTTTCAGGAGCTTAAGCCTGCAAGTTGAGGCAGGAATAATCCATGTCGCTGTCATTACCTAATATATAGGATTAATAATGTATGAGATTACCTGTATTTTATGCTAGGCACATATTCTGCCATGTTGGGCTATGAGGTTTAATGAGGTATGGTCTTTGGCCCTCACAGAGTTTTCAAACTAGCTAGAAAATAGGCAAGTACTTACCTAGGCACCAAAGTCAGTCAAGATTGTTTTGGTTTCAAGAGATAGCAAATAAAACTCAACCTGGTTTAAGGGAGGTGGGATAGAGCGTCTCATGTAATCTTAAAATACAGAGGCATCTGGCTTCAATCATGAGTGGATCCAGGATAGCACCAGGGGTCCCTGTATTTTTATCTCCTGACTCTGGAAAGCTCTCTTGGTGGTGATAAGATGGCTTCAGGCAACACTGAACAGCTTAGCAACTCCATTGGAGAGCAAACTACTGGGAATTTGAGTCATGTACTCTTATGCATTCCTGGAACCATCACTGGTCAGAGGCAGCGAAGATGCGCATAAGCCTGGATTAGGCGCCCATCTCTGGAGCTGGGACAAGGAGTCAGTGTCACTTATGAGCTGTGGCCTGAGAGCTGGGGGAAGGGAGCTTCCAATGAAACGTTTGTTGATGATGAAGGGGCAGCAGAAGCAAGGTAACTACATACAACAGGGCTCTACTGCATACATAATGGACAGCTTATTCCGTACAGTATCCTTAGGGTTAGCTGGGCATGCTCAAAGGATATCATTCATCACTGGAATTGCCTTCTCCTTGACAAACAACATCCCTCCAGTCCAAGCCAGTCTAGGTGGAATAGACCATACATGTAACCTGCAAAAATCTGACCCAAATTTGCTTTGCATTGCAGTGACCTGGACAGAAATAATATCACCAGGATCACCAAGATGGACTTCGCTGGACTTAAGAACCTCCGAGTCTTGTAGGTAGCNAAATAAATAAATAAAAAATAAAAAACTCCCATTTGTTACCTCATGGTTACCTGGGGGCCTCTGTGTCAAGGTCTCCCAAAGCTGCAATTGAGGTGTTGGTCGCGGCGTCTCATCTGAAGGCTCAACTGGGGACAGGTTTATGTTCAAGCACTCGAGATTGTTGGCAGAATTCAGCCTGTTAGACTGAGGGCTTCACGCTCTTGCTGGTCATCCTTAGTTCCTTATTGGTTGTCTGGAAAGCCTTCCCTCAGTTTCTGGCCACATAGACCTCCCTAACGTGACCACTTGCTTCATCACAGGTCACAAGGGAGAGTCTCCTTGAAGGATGCACATGACAATCATGTGAAATAGAATCACAGAAGTGACATCCTGTCACCTTTGCTGTATAATATTGGTGAGAAGCAAGTCAATAGGTCCTGCCCGCACTCAAGGAGTGGGGATTACACAAGGGTACTACTGCCAGGAGGTGGGGATCACAGAGGCCACCCTAGATCCTACCTGCAACACTCACTGGAGAATAAAAGTTCCCTGAAAGGAAATCTTATGTTGTTGTTCAACAATCTGTCCCTAGCCATAATCACAGTGCCAACTCCAAAATGGGTGTTTAATAAAGGTACATTGTAGGAAGAAAAAAAGGATGGAAGGGAGAGAGGGAGGGAGGAAAGGAAGGAAGAAGGGAGAAAGGAGGAAGAAAAGATGGAAGGGAGGAAGAAAGGAAGATCCTGCTTTTCCCTACAACATGCTTTAATAGCCAAATTAATCTGTTTGCATTTCTCCTAAGGCAACTCTGGGCTTTGAGACATGCTGTTTGTCTTACCTGGAATCCTTTCCCTCCTTCTCACATATTCCCTTGCCAACAAACCTGGCTATGGACAGCTCATTTTTGAGGTCTCATTTAAAATGTCACCATTCCCTAGAAGCTACTGCTGACCCTTATAACCAGAGTACTCCATTCTCCTTCCTCCATTCTCTCCCATGAGCTTCTGTTTATACCTCTGACACAGTATAGAGCAGCAGGAGTCTGTAAACTACAGCCTCCAGGCCAAACGTTGGCCTTCAGCCTGTTTTGTAAATAAAGTTTTATTGGAGCACAGCTATACTCGTTAGTTTGAGTATTGTCTTTGGCTGTGTTCATGCTAGGAAGCTGAATAGTTGTGATAGAAAATATAACTGGCAAAAATCTAAATTCTTTACTACTTGGCCCTTTAAAGAGAAAGTTTGCCAACCCCTAGTGTATTTATTGCTGTTTATGGTAATTGACCCTTTGTTTATTTTTTCCCCACTAAACTCTGAGTTGCTCAAGGGCCATGCCAGTCTTGTCAGCATTTAGTACAGCACCTGAAACTTTATGGTCAAGACATATTTGTTGAATGAATGAATGATAAATGATGTATCAATCAGAAAAAGAAAACAAGTGGGAAACGCTCAAATTAGGTTTAGTCAAGAATTTGATTTACAGAGGGACTATTTCAGAAGTGTGAGTGTGGTTCAGGGAGCCAGGACTGGAAGCAGTAGAGCTGTTACCACCCTTGGACCAGAAGAGATGAGAGGAGGCATGGTGTTCTAGAAACAGGAAATGGCCCATCACTAGGAGGAGCAGTGACTGTGACCTTGGAGACAGGAGCTAACCTGGATGACCTCTGACCCCTTCCTCCCACTTCCTGCTCAATTCAAAGAGAAGCGTAAGGGCACCAAAGCCAGCCCTGCACGGGGCTCCTCTCAGGTCACCTTTCCAGGGAGGGAAGACGTGGGGAACCAATAACTGAAATTGAGGCCAAAGCCCCCTCACCAGCATATTCTAATTTGGTTGGAACCTCTTCTTTGCTGGTGGTAAACGGGTCAGGCTGGGCCATAAGATGTCTTAATTCTGGTCCCCCTTTCCCCTTTCCTGAGCAGGAGTCCCCACATCGAGCTATGGGGTCTTGCATGTAAGTGCGCCCCGCCATCTGCCCTTGTCCTCAGACCCTTCACTGCTCTGTGATCCCCACCCTGGCCCCTGTTTTCACCATAACCACCCAACACACTCCCTTCCCATCTGCCTCAGGAGGGCTCTCCCTGAGTCCCTGCCCTTACAGCTCTTTCAAACCTCCGATTGCCCACTCTGTGGAATCTAGACCACATTTCTTAACATTTAATGTTGCATGTTCTTACATTGTTCTCTAATTATCTCATAATCCTTAGTCCATCTCCTCAACTAGACTCCATGCTCCCTGAGGGCAAGGAGCAAGCCATATATTTTTTAAAGCCAATTATACCTCTGCGTCCTCTCCCTACCAGTAGTTGGCTGTGGGTGAAAACTTAACTGCTGCAAGTGCTGTTCAGAAAGTACTTCCTCACACAGTTTACCTCTTGAGCCTCCTGGTCCTGTAGAGCTGGTATTCTTGGTCATACTTTAAAAAAGTCTCAGCAACAACAGCAACAACTGGGGCTCACTCAGCAAAGTTCAGTGCCTGTCCCAGAGTCACACAGCTAAGCGGTGAGGAAGAGGACTCAAGTCTGTATCTTCTGGGTTTGCAGTTGAAGGCCTTTTCTTCACATCGTGCTGACGGCACCTCTAGGCGATGTTTTCGCTGCTCCTCCCGCCCCCCCACCCCCGTGTTTGCCATGGCAGAAAAGACATTTTGCAGGAATGCCACAGAATGAATCCAAAGAAGGCAATGAATAGACATATGCCAAGATAGGGACAGTGGCCTGCCCTAGAACATTTTTGTTTCATTTTTTCCAGTATAGTTCTGAATTCCTCTATCCTCGTCCACCCCACCCAAGGTGTCAAACAGATGTGAAAATACCACAGAGCTGCAAGTCACAGTGTTGGTTTATGATTCATGATTGGGATGGGGAAAAATAATACAGGAGATTACCATGGTGATGCCTGTTTATAGATGAGCAACATGGCAGAAGCCAGACCTGGGCAGACACAGCAAGGAAGAACTTCTGCCTGGACACAGCAGAGGGACTCAGCACCCCCACTGGCCCAGATCTACTGGGCGACAGAACAGGAAATGTACCATCTCGGCTGTAGTGGGGAGCAGCTGGGCCACTGGCAGTACCCCCTTTGCTTTCTTCAAGACATAGGGATAGGAAATTCTGTTCTATTTCTTCATTCATTTTCTTTCAGTCGGCAGTTAACCTGACACAGTAGAAGATGCTTAGGCTTAGTGGCAGATGCACGGCGTGATGTGATTAAAAAACAAAAAACAAAAAAAACCCCAAAAAACACATGGCATTTGCATCCAGAGAACCCAAGTTCACCTTCCAGCCTTTGCCACTTACTGGCTGTGTGACCTCATGGCAAGTTGCTTTATTGGTAAAATCTTCTAAGCTGGGATGGGGGTGGGGGAGAGTAAGCTTCAGTTTCCTTATGTGAAAAATAGGATAATAATCGTACCTACCACATATGATCGCTGTCTGGATAAGAGGGAGTGAACATGAAATTTCTAGCACAGTGCCTGGTGCATAGTTTGGGCCCAGCAAATAGCAACTTTTACTAAGGCTAATCTTCAGTATTTTTAGCTGTTGAAGGATGATAATAATACCTACCTTTCAAAACCATTGTAAAGAGAAGGAAAAAAAA